AGGGTGGCGGGACAGGCTCCCTGAGGGCTCAGCTGGGCTGCTCGGGCCAAGCCAGCCGTCAGGTTTGCACAGGGCAGGGGTTATTCTTATGTTTCTTTCTCTTTAGAACCCCCCTGCCCGCCCCTCCGCACACCGCAGGCAGCGTTTCCGGGATCTCCCTCCCCGCGGGGGCGGGAGTTTGCAGGGGGCGAGCGCTGACACTGCGCTCTGGACACCCGCACAACCTGTCGCTGCCCCCCGAGCCTTCTTTTTTTGGGAGGTAAAAGCCTGTTTTGAGGGAGTGGGGCTGCTGGTCCCGCCCCTTCCCGCACACCCTGCGTGCCCGCCTTCCCCCCATGCCGGCTGGAGCCCCGCATCGTTCCAGGGGAGCCCCCCGCGCCCTCGGCTCCCCGGGCTCTTCCCGCTCTCTCCTCTCCCCAAACCCACCGGATTTCGGGTTTTCACCCCAAAGCTGCATCCCCAGCCCGAGGACTGAATCCACTCGGAGAGAGGGTGTGCTTGGGGTGTGTCCGTGCTCTCCCCCTCCCCGGGCTGTTTTAGGGGCACCGGGTGGAGCAGGAACCGCCTGAACCCGAGGGGAGTGGGTGGCAGGGGGGACTTGGAAGAGATTTTGTCGAGGTGCTGGATCCGAAGATTTTTGTCCTGCTATTGGCGGGTGTGAGAAACATCCTCCCTTGGTGGGACAGCAGCTGTTTGAGGGTTTTTTTTGGGTTTGGTGGTTTTGTTTTCTTTCCCGCTCCAGCAGGAGGCTGCTGGGCAGCTCCAGCCTGCCGGGGGCTCACCATCCAGGGGATGGGGCTCACCCAGCAGCACCTGGAGCACCCAGGAACTGCAGCACCCCAGCCCTGCGTGGGTGAAGGAGAGAGGCTGTGCCCTGGGGAGCTTCAACCCTCTCCCTGTGGTTCTTGCAGGCTCTGCCCTGTCACCTCCTTCCTCTTCCCGTGCAGCCCTGGGAGGCAGGACCCGAGGCATGGCTGAGGGGTGGCCCGACAACAGCGGGAAGGGCAGGAAGAGTCACTCGGCTGGGCTGGACAACAGCC